CCAGGTGGCACGAGACCAGAGCCAGCGGCTTGACCCATCACGACTCCTCAACAGCGTCGGCGGCGTCCCCTTCTCGTCGTGCGACTGGCACCTGCCCACTGCCCTGGTCGAAAAGAGGAGGGCCGCCAGAGGCCAGGATGGCCAGGAGGGGTGACACGACACGGCCCATTGTCATTTGCCTGGGCCTAGCGCGGCACAGGTTAAACACCCCGACCATGTCCAATTGGCCTTCGCGTGATGGATCGACCTCTCGCGTCGTACGCCACATGCCATGGTGGACTGCCTTGCCTACCTATAGTAGTAGGTAGAAAGAAATGCGTCTCCCAGACTGCCAGCCTGCAGTAGCATTCTACAGCCTGCGCTCTGCAGCCCACGCCTCACGCTGTCCAGTCACTCACTCGCGAACTTACTCGTCACGCCTCACCATCCTCATCGACCAGAGCATCGCCCATGATATTACAACTAAGGGCCTTTCCGAGGTGCGCAGTAGCCTGTCTTGGTGCACCCATTGGCTCAGGCCCATGTCCACACACCCCTCCATCCCATCCAATGCCTTCCCGTCCCGTCCTGCCCAATCCAGCAACCCCAGCCTGACCCGTCCCATCCCAACCCATCCCAACCCATCCCAACCCATCCCCCCCCAATACCCCATCTCAATCTCGTTTTCCTGCGCCCGGGGCCACCAGTTGCGCCAGGGTGACAGCTCATCTCATCAGATCAAAGCAAAAAATATGTCGCCCGCATGATACCCCCTCCTCCTCGTGGGACCTCAGCCGCCAAGATTGCTGGCAAGCCAACGGCGCGAGGCAGCAGCACAACTCGCTGCCTTGGTAGTCTGGCTGCTATGTGCGTATGGACACGAGGCGACGGATGCACGTCTTGTCTCGACACGATTAAAAGCCTGCACAATCCACCACTTCCCCAATATCCTTGCCAGTGGCTGGCCGCCGTCGCAGCTTCACCACGCGAACTGAGCAGTCCTGCAGTCTTGTTGGACCCCTATTTCCATAGGGCCTAGGGGCAACCTACTTCTTCTAGCTGACACAGTAGTTCCAGGCGCGATGAGACAGACGATGTCATTCTCACGGAGTGCAGCCCGCATCCGGGATCAACTCTTGGAGAACCAGCCTAACCAGATCCTGCCTGCCCAACGAGACCAACATGCCAGGCCTGCCCAGCATGCAGGCGCCGGCCAGCCGATCGTCTCAACGCGACGCCATGCCGAGAAGCCCCTCCCCCATTCTGTGGTTTCAATTGGGATTTCCCAAGAAGGCATTCCTGTGCACTAAGTACATGGATCATTCGGACATAGCCTGTCCCTCCCCGTTAACACCGCCAGCCTGCTGCTTCACCTGAGGGCGTCTCCGCCAAGCAACATCAAAAAATTGCAGCCACATCCAGTCTGTACGTGGGCGGTGCTCGGCTGTGGGCACCGGGCACTGGGCGGGTTACCCGCAACGCATCTGTGCTAGCGCCAAGTCCGTCGGCACCAATTAATGTACCTGTGCATGCAAAAGCAACGAGGGAGCCACTGAAAAAGATCGAAAGTTGTGATCCCACCTGGCCAGCAGGGCAGTGGGTGCGGTGGCCAATGAGGCCCTGCTCTTTCACGGACCCGCAAGTCACCCAGGTTCTTTGCGGATGCCCTCGTGGCCTTTGACGTCTCTTGGCCAGCTTAAGTAAGCATCGACTGTATCCATCCGGGACCTCTTCTCCCTGCCATGTTCAATCCTTCGCCCGGGTTGAGCGGCTCGCAGGACGCCGGCTGGACTGTGCCACAGACAAAGCAGATCTCTGCTCTCAGATGTCACATCTCACAAGGAGTATTTCTTGTGGCTGTCGGGCTTTCTAGAGACGGTTTCGCACATGCGCGCACACCGGGCCGTCACGACGAAATTGTCCAGCAGTGGTACACGCCTCCAGCTGGCCGGGCAGTTGGCGAGAGTGATACAAGTACAGAACCATCACAGTGGTTTCACAACATGGCAGAGACCAGCTCAGTGATTAACGAAACGGAGTGGATGAGATTGTCTCGCGAATGTCGTCGAAACAATGCCAAATTCTACCGTTGTGGCGATCCTCGTTCTATCCCGCGGAAACTGCTTGTCTCAAATCTAACACAACCACCCACTTACACCCGTATACCAGACCCGTGATTATAGGGAGGGATCGGCTGGCAGTCAGGGAAGATCCCATCAGCAATCCCGCACGTCAAAGGGCACGATGCGACCGAGACGTCGTAATAACTGTGGGCTCCAAGCGAAAGTCTATTGGTGCCACCGTCACCGTGCTACGTGCGTGCACAAGCAGGTGCTGCTGCATGGTACCACCGCGGCTGCGCGGACGAGTTCAGTATTCCGCTCCACTGGAACTTTGTCGCTGCATTCTTGGGATCTTCCCGACGTTGCTCAGCATGCCGCTCGGCGCTACGAGCCACCAGCCGATCCTCATAAAAGGATTTGTTTCAGATCAGAAGTCAACTTAGTCACGTCGACCTCAGATCCTCCGCAGCCATCGCAAAGAGGGAAGTGAGCGGCACAAAGACATCTCATCTCACCTCGGCAATCTTCCTCAATATGAAGATCAGGAATTGGTTGCCTCCTCTCTCTCTACGGCTCCGAATAGCTGCTTCCTATTTCGACGTCACTCTTGTCTCCCCTTTGATGAGCCGCCCGGAGTGCCGGCAGACCTGTGCCCAACCTCGGAAACAACCCGTGGGCATTCCCTGCACCAACTGGCGCTGACCAAAGGCACACCTTGTGGCCAGCCGTATAGGGATCTCCTTACCGGACAAGGCCATGCCCTTTCTCTGCGCACCATAAATATCTGCAGGCGCTAAACCACTTTTCCCGCCTAGGTCAGGCAGGATGCTGACACGCCGTCGCGGAACCCCGTGTGACGCAAGGCGTGCACGCTCAGCGCTCGGCAGCGAGGCCTGGTGGCGGCGGCGGCGGCGGCCCCAAGCATGCCCGGAACTTCCCTCTCGGTCACGTCAAATCCGCTCCGCTGTTGCCAAGATGGGAGGGGAGGGGGGAGGTCACTGCGCAGTGCACATCGTTCGAGACCCCATCGACTCATGATGATCAAAGTCAATTTTGCGAGCTTCAACCGCTTGGGAAAGGGCCCAGACCATGACATCATGTCGGAAAAGAAGCTCGTGGAAACCGGTGCATGGGGGCGGAGAATGGTCCTGAAGGTTTATTAGACTTTGCGGGCTCCAGTAAATGTGTTGCAACTGAAGTCTATCTTCTCGCGGCTAAGCCGGTATTGGTGCCGGCAAACGCGAGGGAAAGCATGTCGGAGGGGAGCATGGGCGGCTTTGGTGCCGGGACAGAGCCAGCCGGCGACGATGTGGCCTGACTTTTCGCGACAAGAGTCTGATAGTCTTGTGCCTGTTGTGTTCATTTGCAACTCCGGGTTGCCGCAAACTGCTACGCTGCTACGCTGAGCTTCTGGGTTCGCTCAGTCCGAATCTCACCTTGCGAGAGCAGTCACCACTATGCCACTGTCTGGTTGGTTCTCTTCCGGTTCTGTCGATAAGCACACGACGCATTGGCAAGACACCGATCGCGAGTCTCGAAAACATACGACTTCTATCGCCTAGCCATGTTCGCATCGCATCGTTAACAGATCCCTCGATAGAATCTATATCCGAACCTCGGTTCGACCCAGAGCCTTCCGAATCTGCGACAGACCACTGAAGTAGGGAAACCGCCGGGCAGGCGTGGACCTTCTAAACAACCAGAAGCGTGTCAGGCGCTGGTTCGTCAAGCAGCGGGGGCATTGACTGGTCTTTTCTGGCGCAATTCTCATTCTATTTACTCCGTTTCATGCAGTTTGTCACCGCGGGCTTGGGACGTGCGCCTTCGTCAGCACCGCCGGCCACGGGACCCCGGCGATCGACCGAGCGCTGGCGGCGAAGGGAGCCCGGCCCCCGGGGGGTGGGTGGGACGCGCAAAGCGCCCGCGCCCAGCTCGCGCTGGTGAGTTGGCGGAGAGTGCTAGATCGCTTGCTTACTGTCGTGAAGACCAGGGACACGTTGCGATGACAGGTCCACAAGCTGTAGTCCTAGCGGTTGCCGGGCGAGCAATTCAACGCTCGCCGGACTGCCGTGCGCTGCATGAATTTGACGCTAAAGAGATGTTAAGCTTCCGCGGTGCTGGCATCGTCATCCTGCTCGTAGTGGACGGCTTGGCCCGTTGTCGGCGCTCTGGCAGGTATGCGTTGGCGAACTACTCCTGCGGCAGTGCCTGAGTGCTGGCAGGGCATGGGCATCAGCTAGTATTGAAAGTCAGTTGCCTGTGTTATCACAGAGCAAGAGCGTAGTCGCTCGCAGCTTACCGCTTGCTGCACTCGAGCAGGCTGATACGCGGGCTCCAGAACGGAACCCGTCTTGACTGGTTTGGCATCGCTCAACCTGCTGTTAGATGCACATTAACAACTCTGTAATCGGCTTTCCTACGATCTGGAAAACTGATGCCAAAGTCATGAGGGAATGTCCGCCTGAAGCCAAGGGCTGTATTGGGTTTGGCCAACGAGCAGACGTTGCAGGGCCCTGAAATTAGACGTTAGAGACAAGTTGTCTCGAGTAAACGAGTGTGAGTGTTCAATTTCCATATCTCAACACATGGTGTCTTTTGATGAACATCAGAGACCAGGGAAGCAGGAGCTGGTCTTGAGGACGCTGGCAAGAAATAGACTGGTTACTCACTTCGCCCATCAACGCATGCCATAAATCATGATTTGAGGAGAGGACAGGGCTCCGGTATAGCACATGAGCTTGTGATCGTCCGTACCCAATACCATCCTCGAATCTTGCGAGTGACTGAATCATAACGCATACGTCCCCTGGTCCCTCGATTCACTTTATCGCCACCTGATCTCATGTATCAAGAGCTGTCCAGCACCAGCAACTTCAGGCCAAATCCGACCAAAGACAGGCACACAGCATTATACACCCATAACTCATAAGACTCGCCCTCCTTCACACCCCACCTCACCTAAACCTCCCCCCTCTCGATAATACCATCAACCCTCCCAATCCCGCGGAAGTCCCCTAGCTCCTGACAAAGGTCCCGCCCCGCGCGGCACGCCGCATAGAACGCCCTCTCCGGGTCCCCATCCCACTCGGCGGCGTCGTAGAGAACCACGGCCTCGGCGCACTCGACCAGCAGGGCAATGCGGCGCGCCCCGCCGGCCTCGGCCCCCAGCACGTCCTCGCGGTCGCGGCGCGCCCGGCGCCAGATGAGCTCGCAGATGCGCGACGTGTTCTGGAGCAGCGAGTCCGTGGGCGCCGGGATGGGGCAGGCCTGCGGCTGCTGCCGTCGGCCCTGGGTACCACCGTCCTCGCTCGCGTCCTCGTCTTCCCGCAGGCCGCGCATGTACTCCAGGCCGCTGTTGTCGCTAAGTGCCCGCCTGGTCTGTCGTCGTTGGAGCGAGTAAGGCGAGCCCCGGGCGCCGGCGCGGTCGCGTATACGCCTGGTCGGTCCTGCTAGCCCCGATGATGTTGTCAGGATTTCGCGCCCATGGCGGAGCTCCCAATTTACGCGTAGCGACTCGAGGTATCGATGCGTGGCGGCGAGGCAGGTGTTGTGGACCTCAACGACGGCCTCCTCCAGGGGCCTTGCCGGGCCGCCGTGGTCCGCATGGAAGGCCGTGGAAGATGATGCCATGGAGGTGCTGTCGTAGGGGTAGACGGTGGAGCTGGCATCCTCGTCATCGCCTGAAATGGAGGCGGGCTCGCCTTCTTCGTTGGCCGCGAGGAGGGGCCGCACAGTAGTAAGTTCTCGGGGTTGCTGGCCGGCGTCGCTCACGTCGCTGTTTGATGGGACTCGAATAGTGTTGCGTCCAAGGCCATGGTGTTGGACAAGGATTTGGACAGGCCCGACCGTGGTTTCCCGTGGAGTAAGCATCAGGGAGACGGGCCTTTCTGCAAAAGCAGGAGCATTCTCGGGGCTTAAAAAATATTGCGGAGGCGGTGTGATGTAGGTCGGAGGCTCGGAGAGCTGTCGGGCTCGTTCTGGGCTAGACAAGCCGTGACTATGCTCGTGAGTATGCACATGGCTGCCGACATAGTGTTGGAGTGAGCCGTAGCCCGTCGAGGGCATGTGATCATTTTCGTCTGATAAATTTTCCATATGCTGTCTCGGTGGCTCCCATTCTCGATGATCATGGAAGGGGATCGCAGTTCGAGGAGAGACCCTTTCATCTGATAGACATGCCGCGCAGTTGTTGATGTACCGACGAGATGACGCCGGCGCTGAGAAGCCTTGGAAATGGCTGAATGGAGGAACAAGTCGAGGAAGTGGCTGTTCCGCAGGGGCAAGGTGGGGGAGCACGTCGAATACTTCGGGACCTTCAGACTGGCGGTTGGCATAGAAGCGTGCGCTGGGTGAGTGTGTTCGGTTCGTTCTGGTGTCCATGGCTCCGCTCGCCTAGACAAATCGGATCTGGACAATCGAGTTTTCAGACGGATTGCTCAACCGTACCTGGAATTAATTCAGCAATGCAAATGCCAACATAAATACACAGAAACTGCTGCGCAGTCAGGGCAGCAATGACCAGTCATATTGGAAACATGAAAAGGCAGGATGATCGCATGCGCCGCTATGGAGTCAGTGCTGAGACCACATGAGGCTGAGGCAAATTCTGATAAAAGAACGAGTACAAAGGTACCGAGTGTTTTATCGACTCTTGATTGTGATCTCCATTGTAAGCTAATCTAGGTATGCCAGATGACGACCCTTCCGTCAACTCCGGTTGCTTGATATGAATGTTAGCACTCAGACACGCCATCGAAAGGGGCTATGGTGGGTGGACTCACAGCTGAACTTGCTGACAGAGCCTCCAGAAGACTCATACGGACGGATCATTGTTATGGTGTTTTGGTGGACGGTGGAGAGTTTCGTGTCATCCTTTGCCTTGCCCTTCAGATCCATCTGCTTGAACATGTTCAAAGCAGATTCTTCCCGGTCGTCACCCAGACCCGGCCTGCCCTTGGATTCCAGGGTTCCAGCCAGTCGCCAGCCCGTCTCGCCGCCCTGGAAGCGAAAGGCCTCGCAGTCGTAACCAGCAGCAATGATCTCGGCCTCACTGGACCAGATCAAGCTCTGGAAAGGAAGCAACTGGGTGGTGACGCTGAGGACTGCCTTCGGGGGCTGGTCGGGAGCGCTGGGGTAGACAACAGTGACGCTGCTGTCGTGGGCAGCGAAGGCCAGCGCATCGCCGCTGGGAGAGAATGCGACAGAGTGGACCCATCCAGCGGAGTTGTTGAGGAATTCTCCGCAGACGGTGTTGAAGGGTAGCCTCTCGCCCCAGGCGCTCGGCTCGGGCCGTTGGTCCACTGACTTGATGAAACTCGAGAAGACTCGGGCGTGAGCGTCGGTGGAGCCAGCGGCGAGCAGCACAGAGTTGGGGTGCCATGCAACCGAGGTGATAGTGCTCCGGATGGGCTTCTTGAGGTGCTTGGACACCCACCAGTCGTTCTCTTCCTCGAAGTAGCAGACAGCAATCACACGGTCGCCGGAGCCGACAGCGAACTTGGTCTCCGAAGGGGACCAACGCACGAAGGTGGCAGCCCGGTTGATTCGAAGCAGTACAAGGGTTGGCTTGTAGCCCTGAGGCGAAGGCTCCCACACGAGTGCGTTCCGGTCTGTGTTCCAAGTCAGCGCGGTCTACTCGTCACATTGACAGAATGTTGTGCAAATTGAACCGACCCTGAGAGCACGACACAATGCGGCCGGAGTTGGGAGCAATGTCGAGGCTGGTGACAGTCTTGTCATGCCCCTTGAGCTCATCCTGCAGCCTGAAGGCATTTCCAGCCTTGCCGTACAGCTCCACGGTCGAGTCTCGTGCGATGGCCAAGGATCGGTCGGCGGAGAAGGAGTGGTCGGCGATGGGGTTGTGGAAGAGGTGGTGGACCTCGGGCGCAGCCATCTTGATGTTGGTAGTTCAGACTACGTGATAGGAGTAGCTCTCTACTATCACGATGATTCAATGTGTTGTTTACGTTGGTAACATGGGACCTGAAGAGGTGTCTTGCTGTCAGGGGAAGGGCGATTGGGGGGGCAGTGGAAGGAAGCTCCCCTGAGTGAAGTGGATGGTGGGGGCGCGGCACGTCACTCTCCGTGGGGTGCATAACCCCGATAATGAGATAAGGGGAGCTGCAGGCTACAGCGCTCCGTCTGCCCAGCTCCAAAAATTGCTGATGGAGCTTAACGCGACACGCGAACAGACCAGACTGGTTTCGCCCTTTGGATATTCGCCCGACTTTGATTGTTCTACCACCGGGACGGCATTTATCCATTCTCTCCAACTCAATCTCTGATCGGCCGTGTAGTCAATCACCACCGGTTGCAAGCATGGGCCCAGCTACCGCGAAGGCAGCACCACCAGGCTCGGGCATTCCGCCCAAGCCCCAGTCGATCCCTCCCAACCAGACACTCTACGTGCGCGGCATCCCGTCGGCCAAGATCCAGAAGGAGGACCTGAGGACAGCACTCTACCTGCTCTTCTCAACTTACGGGCCAGTCCTCGATGTCGTCGCGCTCAAGACCCAGAGCATGAGAGGCCAGGCGCATATTGTCTACCGTGACATACAAACCGCGACACAGGCTATGAGGGCATTGGATGGATTCAATTTCCTGGGATACGAGATGGTTTGTTGTCCTCCTGCTATCTATGGCCTGTCTACCCTGGGGTATCATACTAATTTGTGCAATAGAAAGTAGCGTACGCCAAGTCCAAGTCAAATGTCGTTGCGAAACTCGACGGGACCTTCAAAATCCCAACATCCGCCAACCAACAGGCGGAGATGACCGACCTGCAGCAAAGCATATTCAACGCACCACCTCCTGGCTCAGCTGCACCGGCTGCTCCACCCGCGCCGTCAGGACTACCCACAAAACCACCCGCAGCGGCCGGCCAGACGACGGCGAACGCAGACGATGCAGAGAACAGAGGGCAGAAGCGGCCACGGGAGGAGGAGGAGGAGGAAGAAGAAGAGGACAGCGATGTGGCGATGGAGGAGGACAGCGACGACGACTGATAGCGTATTGTGTGACCGATCGGGAACGTCGCATGGCAGGGTCGCAGGCCAGAGTTCGCAGGGTGCGGCAGTGGCTCACTCCAAGGCCATTTCTTTCGGCACCCAAAGGCCAACACAGCCCCCGACAAGGCCTAACCACACCATGAGGTAATTCTCTTTGGAGCAGTCGAAGTTCGACAGCTGATCGCCGAGGAGACATGGATGGACGAAGAAGCTGGGGACACCCGTGAGAGGGTGATGCTGTTTCTCGGTGTGTTAGCATGACGGACACCTGGATACCGAAAGAACCAATAATTGACTTATTAGCAGCAACAAGCACCCACATCCGCTGATATTCCACCGATACCACCTAGTTTACGGAGGCCGTGCTTATACTGGTCTGGAACCAGACGGCGGAAGACGGTGTCGATGTTGAAGGCCGGCTCGTCTGCTGGTAGCCCATGCAGACTGAACCAGAGGCAAGGTACTCGATATGTTGGGTGAAGATGAATCTCATACGTGACATATCCAAAGTCGGGTGGCTTTTGCACCTGGTGTATAGCGGCCTGAGTTTATATAAGCATCAGACTTGCAATCGGAACAACTGCGGTCATACTGAATCCGCCTGCTCTGCCTCCGCCATCTCATGGTCCTGTGTGCTAGTCAAATCCTTGTCTCCTTCGCCGAACGAGAAGTTGTCCAGATATGAAGACAAGTCCCCATCATCAAGCTCCCCATCCAGCGGCCGGATGATCTGTGCGTATGTTGCGTACTCGGCAGACGTGGAGAAAGAGACGTCAAGCGCCCTGCAGATTCCCAGCTTCCACCTGCGCCTCACAGGACCCAGAGTCGCTTGGGTGTAACGGCGATCGATGTGGTGGCAGACCTCTGCGAACTCGTCGGCATCCAGGTGTGGGTAGTTCTTGAAGTCTGCGCCGACCTTCTGTGCCGCCGCCATCTCCTCTCGTTCCGAGATCGTCTGGACTTTGACGACGTGGGGTTGACTGCGGCTCAAAAGTCTATCGGCGAGGACATGATCCACATGAGATGAAAGCATATTTGCGGTGAGTTGTGTGGCACCCGCCTGGCGACGCCCTGTCCGACCCCTGGCAAGCCGGAGTGCCGAGGCCGGGCTGCAAGGGCCTGCCGAGACTGGAGGCCCTGCGGCTCGGGGGACAGCTGTCCAACTAGATGCCGTGCCTGGGCATACCCGCCGTAGTGAAATGCACGCGTGAACCGCCCTACCCAACCTGCGGAATTCGAGCCGGCAATCCCGGCGCTGATCTGTTCTCTTTCGCTCCCTTGCCTTGGAGCCGCAGTCAGGCACTAGACCACATTCCTAGGTGGGCAGTCTAGATACATAACAGACCACTGCTTCTCTCATTACTACATAGCAGGTGTCTTGACAGTCCCTGCCGGGAGAGCTGCCCACTTCCCCCCTGCATTGGAAGCTCCAAAGTTTCAAGTCAAGCTCTTTCTTTGCCTCCTACCCACATTTGTGTGTCTGCTTTGACTTCATGTCCAAGAATAGTAGCCAGGCCCCCCTGGACTGCTATGTGGACAGATTGAGTGCCCGCGTCACGGAACCCTCCCGATGAACAACAACCTCCGCGACCCCTTCAACCTGCGAAGGAACCTCATCAGCAACCGCGCCCCGACTGCCGCAGCCGCGCTGACCCAGCTCAACCTCCTGCGCGCGACCGCCACCGAGGTCGCCACTCAGGTCACCGAGAAGGTCCAAGAGACTGCGGCCGAGGCCATCGAGCGCGGCAGGCAGGCCGTCGAGGACCTCAACACCAACCTGCGCGAGCGGGAACTGCGCGAACAGCAGGCCGCCGGCAAGAAAGACGAGGATATGTCGTTCGCGGTCCCGAAAAATGTCCCCTCCTTTAACAACCCCCAGCGAGCCCTAGAGGACCGAGTGTGGGGATCGACCGGTGTGACGGCGAGGACGGCCGGGCAACGTGGTGGGGCGGTTGGAGGGATAGTAGGCGAGGGCCTCGGAAAGGTCGAAAACTTCCTGAATCCGAACAGGAACTCGCTCCCCTTGTACAAGGACAAGCCCTACGGATACCCTGCCAGCCACCGAAAGAGGCCCTTCTACCGGCGCAAGACCTGCATGGCTATCGCACTCTTCCTCGTGGTCCTGGTGGCCTACTGGTTCGGCATCTTCGGCGAGGAGCCGTACGACAGGCTGCCCTCGCTGAAGACGGCGGACTGGCTGAGGGCGGATGAGAAGGCGGCAGCGAAGGGCAGGGTTGACTGGCTGGAGCGAAGACAAAGGGTGGTCGAGGCCTTCGAGCTGAGTTGGGATGCGTACGAGCGGTACGGCTGGGGTACGTACCAAGTCCCTCAGCCAAGAGCGGATGTTGAAATGGGCGGGCGCAGTCTAACTGATATGGATCAACTCCAGGCTATGACGAATACCACCCGATATCGAAGAGCGGAAAACACATGGCAAAGAAGGGCCTGGGCTGGATCATAGTCGACGCACTCGATACGATGATACTCATGAACCTGACCAGTCGCCTTACCCACGCGAGGGAGTGGATATCAACAACCCTCACCTACGACCAGGACCAGGATGTGAATACTTTTGAGACCACCATTCGGATGATGGGTGGCCTGCTGTCCGCGCATTACCTATCGACCGAGTTCCCCGAGCTGGCGGCAATATCAGACGACGATGAAGGGGCACCAGGGGAGGACCTCTACCTTGAGAAGGCAAAGGACCTAGCGGACCGCCTGATTCCAGCGTTCGACTCGGAATCCGGAGTCCCTTACGCGAGTGTAAACCTGGGCAAGTTCGAAGGTCTGCCGTCCCACGACGACGGTGGCGCTTCATCGACTGCCGAGGCCGCCACCCTGCAGCTGGAATTCAAGTACCTGGCAAAGTTGACAGGTGAGAAGATGTTCTGGGACAAGGCCGAGAAAGTCATGCAGGTTCTCGATGACAACGGTCCCAAGGACGGTCTTGTCCCGATCTACGTGTACGCCAACACCGGCAAATTCCGCGGCAATAACATCCGCCTGGGGAGCCGCGGCGACTCCTACTACGAATATCTCATCAAGCAATATCTGCAGACCAACAAGGGAGAGCCCATCTACCTGGACATGTGGGAGCAGGCACTCCAGGGCGTACGGAAGAATCTCGTCACGTACACCGAGCACTCGCAGTTCACCATCATCGGCGAGAAGGTCAACGGCGTCGACGGCGAGCTCAGTCCGAAGATGGACCACCTCGTGTGCTTCATGCCAGGGACCATCGCCCTGGGCGCGACGGACGGCCTGACGGAGGCCGAGGCCAGGAAGCTGCCGTCGTGGAACGCGCAGAAGGAGAAGGACATGCAGCTCGCGCGCGAGCTGATGCAGACGTGCTGGGGTACGTACAAGGCCATGGCGACGGGGCTGGCTGCGGAGATCACGTATTTCAAGATTGCGTCGCCGCCTCCCCCGGAGGAAAAGGCGCACCGGGCGCCGGAGGAGTTCGACCCGGACCCGGAGGCTGCGTGGCGCAAGGACTTTGTCATCAAGAGCCAGGACACGCACAACCTGCAGCGGCCCGAGACGGTGGAATCGCTCTTCTACATGTGGCGGATCACGGGCGACCAGCGGTACCGCGACTGGGGGTGGGAGATGTTCAAGAGCTTCATGAACCACACGGCGGTGGCTGAGGGCGGCGGGTTCACGTCGCTGTCCAACGCCAACGTGGTGCCGCCCACGACGCGCGACAACATGGAGAGCTTCTGGCTGGCCGAGACGCTCAAGTACTTCTTCCTGCTCTTCTCGCCCGACGACCTGCTGCCGCTCGACAAGATCGTCATCAATACCGAGGCGCACCCGCTGCCGAGGTTCGACATGGGCCCGATGTTCTCGACCGGCTGGAAGAGGAAGCCACGGGACGCTGACGGGCACATCCTGGAGACGAGGGAGGAGGCCAAGGCTGAGGAGGCCAAGAAGGACTAAATGGTTGTACCACTTGTACCAGTCTATAATGCATTACACAACCAAGTTTAAAACATTGGGCGGCGTTTATACAAAAAGTAATCTCAGCAGCATATTAAATCGTTTCTGTGTCAGCATGTATGAAACCTTCATCGACCGTTTTCCTTGCACGTTGTATTGCGATGGCAACGTGCAGATGCCCTCTTATGTTGCACTACAGAGGAAAATGCATGCACCCACACCTCTGCGTGTAGTTTGGCCCTTGTATGGTAACTTCCTGGATTCCAACATTTTACACATACCATCGATCATGTACCGGCTCCTCAACTTCATCACTAGTCGTGCCGAACGAGATATGACCAACCTGGTCATAGGAGCCGCTGTACTGGCTGCTCCACCCCAGTGACATTTTTACCACACCCCACCTCAGTCTGCTTTGTGCAATCTTCTTCAGTCTCGCGTCCTCTTCGTGATTTTCCAAGTCATTCCTCGCCGGCGAAAGTAAGGCCAATTCGGTTTCACTGTCATTGAAAGCCTCGGGCATATCCAAGTCCATCCGGCCCTCAAGCTTCCGGGAGATGTCCGATTCCGAATCAGGTCTGCTGAGAGTCGGAACGTGGCAGGAGGCTGACATAGCGAACGAATTGCAGCCCACAGAGTTTCCAAACCCGACCAAAGGTTTCTGGCTCCAAATCGATGGCAGCATGAAACCAACAAGTAAACCGAGCGCTAGTATGGCCAGTGTGATAATGGAATAACCGACGGAGACTGTAGACCCCGGTGGAAGGTTTGAATCAGAATATGTCGAGTCTTTTTCCGAGCCCCCGAGGTGCTGAAAGTAGTTCCCTTGAGAGATGAAGACATATATCGTATTAGACATGAGCCAATGAAGGAATGCGCTGGCTATAATGAGGGGAATGCTGTATCGATACGGAAGCTGTGATCTGTAAGTCGAACGCTGGAGGCCTTTCGCGTCAGTCACTCGCAAATATCAGTGTCGAGTGGTCCTTAAAGCCCATGCTCTTCCTACAACTAGTCGCGTGAATGTGTTGTTGTAAATCACATGCACTGTAGAAGGCGCGAGCTGCGGTGAGTTGGCGATGAGGACCGCGTTCAAAAGTGAGGTGCCGGAGTTTGTGAGAGGATTCGAAGAGTTTGTACCGAAGCCCCCGCGTCTATAAGTTTGGAAGTCAGTTGATGTAGATGTAAACGGTAATTACCGTTGCTCACCCACGGGCGGAGCAGGCTCAATATACTTACATGCCCCCGGCTCCGATTCCAATTATAAACATCAGAGCCACCGCGCCCACCAGTGTGAAAACCATGATTGCCAGAAGGAAGAGCCACTCTGACCAGGGAACTGTAGTGCCTAATTTTCTCTTCCGCTGTCGATATTTCCGTGGACCTGGTTGGGGAGCTCCGCAGAAGTAACTCATTCGAATCTCTCCTTGGCTAATAAGGCTCATTCCCATCGTATGTGTATCGGGTTTCGATATAAAGGAATTGACAGCGTCGCCTGGGGTGGTGAGTGGGTTCTGGGTTCTTAAACGGCAGTAAACCCAGACGCAGAGTATCGCCTTCAAAATTGCGCACCCTGTGACACAAACGAGCAAGGTAGTAGATAATGCGACTTTGCACGATTCCTGGACCGGCCGAGCAAGGCAGTAGTCGATATTGAGATCGTTTTGTTTGGGGTTGTAAATAGAAGAACTGTTCCAGTCGGCATACTGGTATCTGTTGTATCCTTTTGACCGCACGACAAAGCAGTCTTCGGTCGAGTTGATTTGTTTGTAATTTGAGGCGTCATTTTCGTACCCTTGGTCCCCTGGTCGCAATTCAAAGCAGCTCGAGGTCGAGTTGATTGGAAAGAACGGCACCACCCATTCTTTAGTAGCGTTGCTGCCACCCAAAGCCCACCTGCAAGAATTGCCACAGATGGTCTGGCCATTTCCAGAGTATGCAGACATCGCACACTTGCCGTAAAACCAGAGAGAATTGTGTTCGGGCTCCGATGTGTCATCAGGGACATGAGCGTCCCAAAATGAACCCTGCTCCATATTCAAACTCCAGACATGCGATCTTGGCCAGCCTTCCGTATCAGAAACCACAATGATCACGTCGCTGTAAGTTGAGAGTCCGCTGCAGGTCAGATACTCCTGTTTACAGGCCTCTTTACTGATTCGCCTCCAAGTGCTACCATTTTGGGCAGTGGCTACTATTTTCTCGTTGATGGCTGAGTTGTTGTCCCGGTACTCTGTCAAGCCGACGAAGTCTCCATATCCGGCCCAAAGATCTGGAGACCATGTGGAGGTCTTTATATTAGCATCATAGATAGTGAGACCCCCGGAATTTAAAAGACTAGCTCCAGGGGTAAAGTAGTTGCCGCCGTGAAGGAATTGCTCCGAGACTATAGCCAAATCGTATTGTGAGAGCCTATACGATGCTTCGAAGATAGCACTGTTGAATAGGAGATGAATGGGAACAGATGATATGAGAAAACCCAGCCATGCTATTGTCTTGAATGGAGAGAGTCGGAGGATGTTGCGCCAGGAAAGGACACCGATTTCAAGCCACGAACCCCTTGCATGGCTCTGATCAACCTCTTCCCGAGAAGGAGCATTTAGAACTTGCATGAACATATTGGATGAAGCAAGTATGGCGGTGGACAGAGTGTTGATGATGATATGTAGTGTTGCGTTCAATGCTGATGCTCCAGTGATGCCGCATGCCCCGGTGAAAAATACGAGGAGAGGCTTATTCAATCCCCCAGCCTTAATTAAAGCTATCGCGGAGAGGATGGTCAAGAGAACGGAGACGATGGCTATCAGGACCGTGTTGACGAGCGCCGCAGTTCGCCATCCCCCGGGAAGAAGCGGATCGACGTGGAACCTAAACCATTGCTTGAAGGGCCTTAAAATGCGACCGAGCCACTCAGCTTCCCTCATGGTCGACTACTGAGGAGAAATCGTTGAGTGATTGATCTTGACAGATTTTGAAGGGCGGAATGTGATGACGTGTGTTGGTAGGTCTCTCGTACGTACGATAATCATATGGGAAGCAATTATGTATTAATGTTGTTCTATCTTAGTTTTAAGAGGCTATATGCCTTGGAGGGGATAACTAAAGTAGCTTTTTAAATGCAAGGGTTATATTTGCTAATATTTATAGTTTTTCTTTTCTTTTAATAAGTATATATAATCTTTATTATAATTAATAATTCTTATTATAATTAGCCTTAAAATTATAATTTATTATATATTAAGTATATATAACTTTTATTATAAAAAAGCATTATTAAAAAAGCTTAAAATTATAATTTATAAGTTTTAAAGTAAGTTTTAATAATCTTTATTATTATATTACTCTTTTAACTTATAATTATTATTATTATATTATTTTTTAAATATTATATTTATTATTTTTAATACTTAGTTTTTAAGATTGCTTTTTTATGGAAATTATTAACTTTTATATAATGGCCTTAATTTTAAATTTTTTCTTTATAAGAAAAGTTAATGCTTATAAAGTTAATGCTAAATTCTTTAACTTATATTTATTTTTATTATATATCTTTATAATATAAATATTATTATTTTTATCTTTATTTTTATTATTAAAATATACTTAATATTGCTTTAAATTAATTTCCTTTAATTACTTTTTATTTTTTTAAAATTAAATATTATAAGCAACTTAATTATTTATTATTTCCTTTTCTTACTTTTTATTATTCTTTTTAATTTCCTTAATAATTATCTTTTGCTTAAGTTATTTAAATAATAGCGTATATTTTTTAATAAGTTTCTTTATATATAAGCTTTATATATATTTATTAATAATTTAATATAAAAAGTTTTAAAGCTAGGTTAATATAGTAATTTAATTCTTTAATAATTAAATCTTTTTAATTTAATATATATAAAAAATACTTAAGATTAAAATTCTTATTAAGTTATTTATTATGGAAATTATAATGATTTAGCATTTAAAATGGTAATTGCCTTAATGGTTTTTATTATTAAGGATGTTATATAATTTTATATTAAGAGTTTTAATACTTTTAATATAAATATATAGCTTTTTAATTATATTATTAAAAGATATTTACTTATTTTAATATTAAAAGTTATTAATAATTTAAATAATAATTATTATAGTAATATTATTTAAAAAAAGTGTTTTAGCTTAAGTTATAATTATAATCTTTAGCTTATTAATTTTAATAATTCCTTAAAAGTTTATCTTAATAAATAGCTTGCTTTTTTTAATGCTTAGCATAAAAGTAAAATTAAAGATAATCTTTATAATCTTTATTAAGGTTTTATTAGCTTAGTTTTAATTATCTTTATTATTAGCAATGATTAAATTGCTATTAATATTAAGCGGATAAGAGTTATTATCATTAATATCCTTATTAATATTCATTAAATAAGCATTATTAGTAACAACCTTGCTATAGGAATTAGCAAGATTAATAAGCTTATCTTTATCCTTATTAATTAAGGCAATTTTAGCCCTTCTTATAGCCTTAGTAATAATTCTAATCTTTATTTTATTGCTTAATAAGAATATAGTTATAATGTTTATTTTATTAATTGGGGTTATAGTTGCAATGTTTGCAAGGGAATTTTAATTTTATTTAAGGGTTGCGATAGGGCTACCTTTAGCATTGATTATATTAATAGCAGCTATAGCGATAATTGCATTAAGTGTGTTTTTAGCGCGGGGAGTAAATGCAATATTTGTTAAATAATTCTTGCTATTATTATCCTTATAAGGCATGTTAATAAAAGTGTTAAATAACTTTTATAAGTTATTATTAATATTTTCCATTATAATAAAAAGAAAAAGATTTTATAAGAATTTAATAGTTAAAATGAATATTTATAATGCAAAACTTTATAATTATTATATAATAATTATTAATTTATTCTTTAATTATAAGAAAAGTTAATAAGTTATAAATAAATTTAATAAAAGTTAGTTTTAATATTATTATTAATAAATAATAGCGAAAGATAATAATAAAAATAAGATTAACTTTAAAATAATAATTATTAATAATATTAATAATTATAAGGTTATCCTTATATATAATAAGGTATTAAAAAGGTTTTAATTAAAATATAAAAGATTAAAGTTTATATTAAGAGTTTAAGTTTAAAAGGTATAAGGTTTTATAACTAGCGGCGATAAGGTTAAAAGGAAAAGGTGCTAATAATAAGTTGCTTCTTTTTTAATAGGAAGAGGTTATTTTAAGTTTCTTAACTAACCTATTTACTTATATATAAAGCTTATTATTATTAATAAGCTTTTATAATGCAGTATTTAAAATTAATTTTATTATTGCATTAATAGGGTTGTCTTTTTTATTTATTTACCTTACTTTAGTAATTTCTTTTATTTTATATAACTTTTATAGTAATATAATATTAATTATAAAGCGCTTTTTCTTTATTATTCTTAGCTTTATAAGGCATTTATATAAGTTATATAAGTTTATATAAATAATTAAAGATATATTTAATAATAAGAGTTATTTTATGGCTATCTTAATTATTATAGCTAGGAAGATTTTAATATTTACTTTATTTACTATATTATAAATTTTGCTTGCTAATATGCTTTAAATAATATATTTATACTTTATTAATAATTAATAAAAAATATTGCTTATTATTATAAATTTCTTAGTTTCTTTATAAGTTTTATTTGCAAGAATAATAATATATTTAAGTTAAAATATTAAGTTTTAATTATTTATAAATAATTTATTTATAAATATAAAAAGTTTCGCTATTTTAAGATTTAAAGGCATATACTTAATTCTTTATATAGCATTATTTATTTATTATAATAATTATATATTTAAGCTTTTATAATTTTATACCTTTAAGTTTTATATTTATATAATTATTAAAAGATTATATAAAGTTTTTAATTAATAAATTAAAGCTATATATGCTCCTTAAGCTCTTTATTTAAGGTATTTTTAAGGAGCGTTTTTAATTATTATATTAATAATTATAAGTTTATTAGCTTATCTTTTTTAATAAGTAGTAATTAAGCTAGTAATATTTATAGTTATGCAAGCCTTATTATAATTTATTAAGTTTTTAGGCATTAGCTTTTATTTTAGTTTTTTTTATAATTTTATAGCTTTTATCTTAGTTTTTTTTTATTTTAAAATTTTAATATAAATAAAATTAATATATTATTTATTTATATATTTATTATTTTAAAGAGTTATATAAGCTTTATAATTATTAAATAAGAATTATATATAAAGTAATTTATTTTAAGCTTTTATTAATAATGTTTTTAA